TATGTCGTCTGCCAAACAGGACATTTTAACCGCAATGTTAGAACCGGTCAAAATTGCATGTTCAAAATAATGAACAATCACAGATTAAATATTATTATTTAAACTATTAACAGATTTGTAATTGTCTACGTAACGATATGACTAAATTAACACAGTTAAAACAGACATTCAACAGTGCTGTACAAAAGACTTAGCTTATGATTTACTAAATGATATGCAATAATTGTACTAAAACCTACAAATATGTAATAATAAATAGAAGTAATATAGATATAAAAAAATATATAACATAAAAACATGAAGCAAATATTATAAAAGAACAACAACAAAATAAAAAATATAGGAAAACAAACAACATTTAAAAAGCTAGGTAAACATTAAAATAAAATTAATAAAACAAAAAAATAAAATAAACATTTAAGTCTTTCATAAGTTACGGTACTGTATAGAAAAATATATTTTATTGCTGCAATGGCTTAGTCCCACAAAAATGTTCCATGGTCCTTTAAGAATAATTTAATAATTACCTATAAAATCAAATAGGCTAATATAATTACAATTATTAACTGTAATTTAATAATTACATCAAATAAAAAACAATTTTTAGTTAAAATACTTTTAAATTTTAGGCACTGTGTTTAGGAAGTGGATACCAACAAGTAAAACATTTTAGCTTTATTTGTCTAAAAAAACTTTTAAAGCCTATAGAACATTGTAGTTGGTTTGTATTTTAAAATCTGTGTTAGTTAAAAAATTTTACTTATTTTTAAACATTTGTAAAAGTGGAAGTTTTTTAATAAAACGAATAGTATTTTAAAATTATGAATTTTTTTATGTCAATCCTTTTAAAGAAATCAGATTTATTAGGAATTACGGTTAAATACAGTCATTGCCAATTTTTTCAAAACAATAACCTCTCCCATCAATAGTATATTTTATTGCTAAGTCCCAAAGTTTAGCTTTCTAATTTAGCTTAAGTTTAATGAAGATGAGCAAGGATCGCACAGCCACTTTTGGGCCATTTTCATCATCTATATATTAAGAGGTAAGTTATAAAAAAATAAGCAAACTTACACTAAGTATCGTAACCAACATTTGCACCTAATTTTAAAAAAACTAAAACAGTTTTGCCCTAAAATAGTTTCTATTTATCCTTGTAATGTTAATCAAATAGGTGTTACGGAAATTTTAACATTTTATGTCTGGTTTACTTTATGCAAGTGCAGTGCTCGATTTGCAGGACCTCTCTTTCGGATAGATAAAAATATTGGCACAAATAGGTGCAAATCACATTAAACGCAGTACAGTCACCTCATTTTTTTAATGGAGCACTATGTAAGTGTTATGTTAATGAAACAGTATATCAATTACTGTGGACTATTTAAATTATTAAAATAGATTATTTTGGAGTTATTTTTTTAATAGAAATATTTTTGGATAAAGGGACAAGTTTGAAATTAGATCTTTAAATTTAGTAAATTACAATTTCAGCTGTAAACACATTGTATTCTTTGCTGCATTGTACAGCAATATTGTAACAGCTGACTAATTTTTTCTATAAATAAAATTAGCCACATTATCTGCACAATGCATGAATTTAAAACAGTTTTTTACTCAAGAATATTACTACTGTAGTGTTGGGGTTAGAAAATGAAGACACAATCTTAAAAAACAACTTTGTTAAAAAAAGAAAAATCATAAAAAACAACTGCTTAACCAAGTTTAGCTAACTATTATTTTTAGCTACATCTGTGAATAAAACGTGTATGTACAAAAGTGCTCGATAATGTAGACCATTCATGCAACAATCATACATTTAACATATGTTTGGTCATGGAATCTTTGTTAGTCTTAGTTATAAAATATTTCCTCCTAGTATAGAAATAACCTTCCTTTACACAACCTAGTTTTAGGTTGAGAATCTTCAGTTGGTAAAACAGTCAAATGCAAAAAGAAGGAATTTTACATGGCAATAAGTCTTGAAAAGCAAGTAAGTGTAGAGGAAATTTAAGCATTTAAAAGATATTTATTAGCAACCTGTTTATGGGTTTATGCTACAATTTCAGGCTAAGCTCGCTTTTATTGTCGGTCCTGTATTATTCTTGGTAAATTATATTTAAGAAAAACATATCTCCATTACATGCACAATTCCTGAACATCATAATCATACTGTAGATCTGTGTTGAAGGCTTGGTGACAAATGTTACTTAACCTAACTGATAATGAAGTTACAATTTCAATTTTGCAAGGGGTTTTCTGTGTAAACAAAGCTTTAAGTTTATAAAATAGATACGTTTACTCAGATAGTTTCCTAATAAATATTATATATTGGTTTACAAATTTTAAACACAACAACCTTACATTTTAATTCAATTTTATGGAAGAAAACAACAATACAGTTAGTTTTACATGTATCAGATGGAAAGGATATAATTATTATTTCGCAATAACGGAAACTATTTACCTATCTGATAATACCTCAGCAGTACTCATGAAGTTTAATGGTCTCCAAGAGTTCAATAATATTTGAATGTATTTCACCACTTGGCTTAACTTAACATAAATACTGAATTTAAAAAATATAGGCCTACAGTATCCTCAATTCTTAGAGAGCTGCTGAAAACGTCTATACCAGACGTTGTGTTTACCTTGTTATAATGCACTTAAAAAAACTCTGAAAATATCGGATACCTATTAAGAGCTCAGACTGTTTTAGTTATATGTCATGTCATTAATTAAATCTTAAAATCAGAAGTAGACACATCATTTATAGACTACTGGCTTCTTATCTGTGGTCTATGTACTGGCTGGAACCACTTTTTTAATCAAATACAAAACATTCAAATACTACAGTAGACTCCCTCTGAACAACACTCGGCAGAAATGACATCTCTTTAACCGGACAATTTTTATCAGCGCATCGGTTTAACCGGACTAGATCGGCAGGAAGTGGGTGGTACTAAAACGACTGTTCTCGTGTTAAAGATTTGAGACCAGTGATCTCGTGTCTAAATACAATGCTCTCATAAATTTAAGTCAAATATGTATACAGTATGCATTTAAATGGTCCGTTTTAACAAGTTTTTGGGAACATCGCTTTAACCGTAAAATCCGTTATCCGGACTGGCCTCGGTCCCGAGGAGTTTGCCGGATAAGTGGGAGTCAACTGTATTGAAGTTCTATTAAAGTTAACAAACCGTTAACTTTATGGTTTAGCATAATTAAAATTTTGTTTCCATTCCAAGAAATAAAATATTTTACATCAACACAAAATATAATACAACAATATTTTTTAATTCTTAATTTGGTTAAAACTTCAGGAATATTAAAACATCTCGTCTATTTCGCAATAGTGCTTAGACAAAGGTTATACTAAAAAACTGTCAAATACTACATGTACCTTCATAAATACATTTTTTTAAGGATATCTATACTGACTACACAGTTTTCATTCCACCATTCTACAGTCAAGCATAGTATTTAGCATTGCATATTAAAGTTTAAGCTCCAGGATATAAAATAAAGAAATAGATTATTCCCTATATGGGAAATTCGCTAAAAAGACTGATGCATTCTGGAATTATATATTCACTGAATAGTTTTTAAATTGATAGACAAGTACTATCTTAGTTTTCTTTTGACAATAGCTATGTAACATGTAGACAGACAACAAGCAAGAATGTAAATTTGGCACTTAAACTTGTCCAAACAAGTCTACTACTCACTGCAAGCATACAAATGATTTGTTTTGCATAGGTATTTTATATTACATCACTCAAAGTTTTGAATTAAAACACCTTTTTATGAGTATGTATTTTGGAATAGGTACAAAGTAAAATTACATATCACTATTTCACAAGGAGATTTCATTATTTGAATCAAGCAGCACAATATTTGAATGGAGTATAGAGTATAGAATTCTTTGAGAAAAAAATACAAGTAATGGATGAAATGTTCCTTCATCAGTGGAATGCAAAGAGTAAGATTTCTTAGGGAGTAACATAGGGTACTCCTCAATACATAGAACAAAAGTAATGAAATACTGTTTGAAAATACAAATTATACTTTACACTGCAATCCATTTAACACTCGTGCAATTCCCTTTATACATGGAATGTACGGAAAGATTACTTTTTTAATTTGCATTATCCTTTTCCTGTGGAATATAAGGAGTGTACAGCTGTTTAAGGAAAGAGATGATGAAATTCACATAAAATCCAAAGTATTATAATGCCTCATTTAAAATATAAAAGAAGGTCAATACTCCCCAATATACAGAAAGGAAGAAAAAATGTATTTAATAAAAGGAGGATTATCTTCCCTAATTTAAAGAATGTAAGGAGAATAATAATAATAATTTTGGGAAGATTGAAAAAGGAAGGACAATAATACTAGTCAATCTGTGATATGTAAGGAGCAAACATCTTACATTTTATGTCGTCTCAAGTATACAAACACCAAAACAATCAAGCTAACAACTAATAAGGAACAAAATTGAGGTAAGAGAGCATAGGTCGTGTAAGATGTTGTAGGTTATAAGGAACTTGTGACACAGCACCTAACTGGATAAAACTATGCTAGTTGCATTTAAATTATCTGTTTACCGACATAAATATTTCAACATTATTTATATATAGTTTTATTATGGTAGGGTGACTAGAATATAGAATACATTTAAATACAAGGTGTGTGCACGATTGGACTTGTAATATAGACAGTAGTGTTCAAATAAAATTCTTACAATTACTTAGCCAGATCTTGTCATTATTACGATCAATACACAAGGATAATAAATTGACCCGCAGAACACAGATTACCCTTAAAATTATGAATGAAGAGGCTTCATAAAATGGGACAGACGTGAAGTCACATAATAAGCAATTTGAAGATGGAGGGAGCATTTTACAGTTGGTTTGGCACAGTTTATAAATATTGCAAGAGTTCACATTTAATGTATCCACAGAGTAAGTTTTGACAAAATCAAGCTTTCAAAATTTTAGAATTAATTTCTTAACCCTTTCCACTCGGATTAGTTGACCCCTTGTTGTCCCATGCGCTTGCATTTATTGCCATGCAAAAAAACATGTTTTAAGTTTTGTGTACATATACTGACTAAAATAAATTATTTGTTGTACTTGAGGGCTTGATTCTTATTCAGCATAAAATTGTACACAAGTAAAACAAAATATCAAAATAAATATACCCATAAAATATTTTTTGTGTGGTCATAATATAAAAAAAGCAAAATAAAATGTACAAAATATTTTTTAGGAGGCTTTTTAAAAAACGTTAACACATTTTCAGGATTTGTAAAACACTTTATCAACATTAGTTATCTAGTTGCCAATTCAAATCAGCCATTACAAGAAGGATTAGGTGTATTTTTAATGAAAAAATGCATTTTCAAACTTAGATTTTTTGGTGATTTTGGTCGTCATGGTTACTATTTACACTTCTCTATTCTTTAATCCACAGCTGACTAAATAAACTTACAATTATTTTTCAAGCTACCAAAGACATGTAAAATGAATAAGGAAATCATTAAGTTTGTATTCAACACAAATTCAAAACATGCAAACACTATATAAAAGGGATTTATTAATAAAAAGCCGATGCTGAAAATGTCGCGGCGGCCGCGACATACGAGTGGAACGGTCAGACGTGAATGTCGCGGTAGCGGCGACATACGAGTGGAAAGGGTTAAACACTGCAGTTCGAGTATGCATTAAAACAATAAGAGAATACCAAATTTTAATCATTATAGAAACAAACTATTTGAAGCTAGAATCCAAGGGGGTGAATAAAAATTCCAGAAAAAACGTTATTCGATGTAGCTGAAAATCAAGGTTACGATAAAGGTAATTTAAATAGATTTTTTCTCTCGTTAACATAACATAAAAAACTAGCTACCAAGAACACTATCTAAATATCACCTCTATCTTGCTATTCAACAATAATCAAATCAATTCTAGATACAAGAAATTTGTGAGTTGAATTATGAATTATAGTACTATTTTTTATGTTATGCATGTAGGACTAGTGCTCATATTAAATAATTATAATTGCATGAGTTTTATCAATAAATTTATTTTGATGTTGAATCATGTACCTAATTAAAATATCAAAATTACATTAATTTATCTTTACACTTCAAATGGTGTGCTAGCCGACAAGATTATTCTTCATGAGTTCGTAAGGCTTAGCAAAAAAATTCACCTGGTCTAATGCCAAAAATAAAATGTCTGCAATATTTAGTAAAAAACTATTTAAATTAAACATTTATCTTAACCAGCAGTGAATGATTCAAATAACGTTGAATTTGAGAAGGTAGAATGCCAAAGTGCATGCTTACCTAACATCGATATTGATTTAAAATTGATCAAAGTAGAAGCTATTACCATGGGAAACATGTCTTTAGGTAATTATAATAAAGCTTAATACCTTACATATTACTCCAGGCCATCACCACTTTTTTGAAAGGTACGAAGATCGCACAATCTGTGTCGCTGAAACAACAAAAATATATTTTAAAAAGGCAATAAATTGTAGTTCTACTTATTAACCATCCTCACAACCAGAAGTAATCAAAACTGATATAAACAAATTTTTAACATAAAAAATAACTATGTATAAATATCTAAGCTATCTCAATCCAACCGAATTGTTGAAACTAACATACAAATGAACCTTTCACTACTTATTTCACTCAATAAGGGCTAATCTTCCACCTGAGCCAACAGTATTTTTCATCATAGTATCCAGAAAACAGCTGTTTTTAGATCAATCATCTTTTACAGGTAACTTCAAACAGGGAACAGAAAAACCCTATTGTAAATTTTTCGGTTCGCTAACCTGAAGATTTGTTTATGGTACGTTATGAAAACGCTGCTAATCGGATAACATTTTGATTTTAAATTATGTTTGTAAACAACAGAAATGTAAACATTGATGACGACTTTGTATAACCAACCTCAAATTATGTGGTCTAATTATGTAATGATTAGAAGGTTTCTACAGTATAATAAAAAAAATACTTGTTCATCGATAGGAGCAAAAAGGTATTTTTTTATGAAATGTTGAGCTTAGTATGAAATTTACAAATCTGCCAAATTCAAACAAAATAATGCTAGTCATCCATAGACAGGCAAACTGCAACAAATTATTTTTTCTCAACAAGAATAACATGGAAGTTTTCAATTTAAAATTTTTTGGGATTATAGGCCCAAAGCTTTTAACCGTTAGACATAGCCTAATTCAATATATTAAATAATTTGTATTTTTAAGCCTTACAAAATAATTTGAAAGAAACTGCAAAATTGTTTGTTTTGGGTGGATCAATAATGAAAAAATCCAGTTTTTATCCAATAAAACCAACCACACAAGTTCGTTCCCATAGTCTGATCATGCTATTTCGCGAACTAGTTAGAATAAATGCAAGTTTGCACATTTGTACCAAATTTCATCAAAATCGGATGATTTTTTCTCGGTCTGTGTTTTTGGCCTCTGGGGACATCAAAACAAAAAAGTGAATTGGTCCTGGGTCTAGGTCTTACCATGAGACCTACTGTAACAGCTTATTCCCTATATGGGAAATTCGAAAAGTAAATTGGTCCCGGGTCTGAGTCTTACGATGTGACCTATCTCGATGTGATCTTGAAGTGATCTTATTCGTTATATATGGGAAATTCACTACAATATAAAAAATGACAATAGCAATATTACGTACCTAATAAGAATAAAATGAAAACTTTGTGTATCTGCAACCTACTACTACGAGAAATCAGTCCATCTCATTCAAAAGAGACCAAACCCAAACTACAATCCTGAAGAAATTAAAATTGCTCAAACAATTTAGCTTCCTATACCATACATGAATTATTTTGAACCAGTCTAAGCAATACAAGTTTTTAAGCAGCATGTAGACCTTAAGTGGTATAGCCTAGTACATTGTAAGTTACTCCGTTGACACTATTCATGTTCAAAACTTTATATAGTGAATAAATATAATTGGATTTCATTCTGATAGAACCAAAAGCTAGGCAAGATAGTTTGGCTCACCAGTCAAAGTAGCGTCGACCTCCGTATGATCCGTCACAGTTGCCGTCCGACCTCCCCAGCTGAACTCCCACATAGATGTCGTCTCCTCGGCCAGACACTGGTCCTACATACCTCACTCGGCCCACCACCACTCGACCTTCGTTGGTGATCACCTTCACCCAGTAGTTTAGCTTCAAGTCTCGCGGCAGTTTTGCCAGGAACGGTGAACTTGATTTCGGTGGCTCAAATGAGTCTGAAAAATCCTCAATGGAATTAATTTATATAAAAATTAATAAAAAAAGAAGCAAAACTGTTTGAGAAAAAAAATTAATGGTGAATAGAAAATTTTTATTTATAACTTAATTGAAATATGATTGAGGTATGGTATGTAAATTACACTCTTTATAATATAAGTTATATCTGCAATAGGCATATTTTAAAGATTGTAAATTAGTGGTGTTATTTATAATATGCCTAATTGTCTCAAACAAACATTCAGAGATAGTATAATAACTCTCATATCGTGTTTTTGTGGATTCTAATTTTTTTTACTATAGGCCTAATGTCATATTTGAAAGGTAAAAGGGTAATTGCCTTATTATTCTTTTTGCCTCTGAGACAAATTTTGAACAGTATTTAAACATGCAGCTTGCTCACAGGTCCCCTTATAAAACATATTTAGTGTGTCAATAATGATGTTTTAAAGATTTAAAAATCATGTATTGAATTTGTAGATTAATACTCTAGATGTTCACAAAATTTTGTTCATCATGTGGGAATTATTGACACAATTTATTTATTCATTTATGTTTTTACTACATCAATGGCATTTTCAAATTTACAACTCTTGTTTATACCATTTATGACACTTTTAAAAACTATAAGCATACCTTTAAAAGGTTCAGAATATCTCCTCGAACGTCTTTTTCTAGCAGTCTGAACATAATCTGCTCCCGTCACCATTGAGTCGATGGATCTTCGCAAGAATTCTTCCGACTCTTCAATCAGCGAATCTGTAGAGTCTTCGCCACTGTCTTGCTCCAGCGGTAAGCGCAGATCTGGTAGAGATTGACCAGGGCGCCGAACAATTGTATCTAAAGATAAACATTGCGTTAAAATTGCTGTATAGTCAACAATTTGCGAATGTTTAATGTGTTCAAATAGTAATGTTATGTAATGTTGGGCACTAGAAAATATTAAAAGGATATTATTATGCAGTGAACAGATTTCATTCTAACAAATGAATTTGAAAAGATCTGTTGAGATTGGTATGAATAATATAGTGCAAGAAGTAGTGGTATGTACCTATATTAAACTAAATTCTTAAGAAAGAATTTTTTAATCATCAAGTTTCTATTCCCATTCCTATTCCAAAGGTTTAAAATAATTTGACTGACTTTTTTTGTGAAAAATTATTGTTTATTGACATTGTTCATGTGTAAAATTACTTAAGTCAAGTTACATAACTTGACTCCCTGGGCCTACTGATTAAAATTTCAAAATACGCTTAGTGACACGTCATTTTACCTTGGAAAGTAACTCTGCTTCGACTTTTTGATGTGGTCAGCGGTCTGAATGTCCTAGATGATGAAGATATTGAGAGTTTAGAGTCTTGTCTCCTGTTTGGACAGCACATACTGTAGCAGCTTGTGTCTGGTTGGTGGTAAGAGGCTGAGAAAGGAACACTGCGAGATCTGCGGCAATGTGTCGGAGACGTTGGGACGGACCAGTTAGGCCGAACGTTGCAAGAGCTGTACCACGAGGCGTCCAATGAAGAAACCGACGGTTTCATCGAGTGCCTTCTCCTTGAGCACTCAGACATATCCATCACTGAGGGAGAAGGAATTGACATCAGCGAACCTTGATAGTACTCCCAGCTGGGGTGTTGGCTGTTGCAGTCGCATGGAGACCAAGGCACCCGGCCTAAGTACCCTGGAGATAACACACTGTCAGCGTTCTTCATGTATGAGAAAGCCCGAGGGTAGTTCTTACATAAATTTGAGGTATTTATGGCTTCGTTACAAAGATGATCGGCGCTTCTAGAAAGTTCTGGGACCATGCTTGTGAAATTTATATCGGAGAGGAGAACCCTTCTGGCTTCTTGGGTTTTCTCTGAAAGTCTCAACGACTGTTTTCGAGGAGGGCAGTGACTAACAGGGATTGCAAATTTTGAAGGTAATGTCGTGAAGTTGCTTGCGACTTTGTGATGAGCGAGGAAACTTTCTGACCTCCAGTGAGCTGGCAGAGCGGTTATGTCAGTTTGAGCTTCAGATTCTTGTTTGTTTGAATTCTTTTCAGCTAAAATCGGCCTGGTATTCCTAGGGCTTCGAGAACTTTGGGAAAACTTAACCAGCAAAGGACGAGGACTATGATGAGTTTGTTCTAGTAACTGACCCCTACTTCCGGTCATCGCTTCTCTGTGTATTATCGGTCTATAAGGAACAGCGTTTGGTAAAGTGTTACGCCTACATATTTGAGGACTCTCGTCTTCATCGATGACTCCACACTTGGATATATCTGTCTCTACAAACACAGAATGTGTCCACGTATGCTTGAGAGTTGAATTGCTAACAACATCTTTAGTACTCTTGTCTTCTCTTTTAAGTTGCCACGTTTCAGATTCCGCAATTGACACCAAATCCTCATGTAGCCCGCTGAGCTCCTTGTCGTCAGTAGTGAAGATGAGCTCGATATCGTCCAGTTCTTCAGAATCCTCCGACTCCCCCTTGCTGATCTGAGGAGTTCCTGCTCCTTGTCTGCTCGTTGCACTGGATATCGATTGATCCCCGTCATCGTGCACTGATTTCTCTGCTTCATCCCCATTCTCTAAGGACGGCTGATCAACTAAACCATTTTGTCCTCTAGAGCCCTGGTCGTTATTTGATCCTTCTCTGTCATTTTTGTCTTCCACATTTTGTGCCTCTTCTGCCCTTCCTGAATCTACATTTTCTGTGGAATCCATAGACTTGTTTGGATTCTGCTCTGTTATGGTTGGTAAAGAAATTTCAATCCCTAAAGAGCTGACATTCTCAGACGAAAGCACTCTTTGTCTCAAAACATGATTCTCCAATGATAATTTCTCTATTGTTTTTTCATAAACAGTGGGATCAACTTTTCCTTGCACCTGCTGTCTCAGTGCTTGCAACTCTGATCTTGATTGTTCTAAAGCTGCCCTCAGAGACACAACAGTCTGATGCAGCGCTCTGACAGTATCTAGACTTTGCCTCTCTGCATACACCACTCCAGCGACCTGGCCTGCTTTCCCCACTTCCATTTATTTGATCCAACACTCATTTCTCTATAAAATTACCTTCTGGCCCTGGATTTACCTACTTCTTGAACCTAAGTTCTCATTTAACATTGAATCAGAAGTTAATTGCTCCATCTGTTCAAAGTCTGAAATAAAAATAACAAAATTATATTAAGATTAGCCTAAGTATAATAATTTACTGCATATCACATGTAAAATTTGGACATGTTTTTAAAGATAGATATTGCAGTATTTTAAGAAAACGTACCGGTAGCGGAAATTATGCATTATAAGGTGACTATGAGAACCTATAGTAGCCTAATTATTTTATATATCATTAGAAACTAGATTTTTACCTGGAAAAGATGGTGCAAACATTTTTCTGCTGTGACAAAACTGAATAAACTACAATAGTTTGAATTTATTACTGTAATACCTCTTGTCTGCTTGTCTCTGTCTAAGTGTTGGCCCGAAGTTGGATATTATTTACTTTCCCCAACTCACCTAAAACGTCCTATAAGACGTTTTTAAACCCATCCTAGACACCATCACTACAACTTTCTCAAACGACTTTTTTTCGCCGAGGCTTTCTGTATACATCACGCCTAGATTACTAAACACCACACCCAGATTACTAGACACCATGTCCAGATTACGGTTAGGTAAGACTAGAAGCGAGGTGTCTAGTAGCGAGCCTTTCCCCCCACCCAAAACCCCAAATTCCGACCAGTCCCCTAGATGGTAGGGCTTATTGCTGATACATCTATCCGATTGTAGGGGTCTAAGGAAGCCTCGGCAACAAAAAAGCCATTTACGAAAGTTGTAGTGTTGGTGTCTAGGAACGTGTTTGGTGTGTTTAAAAACGGCTGCACTTTACTTTAGGTCCTGCACTCATTTGAATTAAAATATTGATCGATATATCAAATGAAACAATAGAATAATCGATATTTTCATTCGGTTGTTTGTGTAGGACCTAAAGTAAAGTGCAGCCTTAAAAAAATGTCTTATAGAACGTTTTAGGTGAGTAAACACACATAACAACCGATCTACCACCAGCAAGTCTAAATAAGAACCTGTCTAAGTTTAAGTCTAAGTTTAGCCTACCCATCCTGTTTTCTTTGGACCCTTAAATTACATCTTAAACTAAAATTTCTCATAAAAAAGGCTAGGCTATGTTTCGATTTTAGGGGGTTTCTGAAGGTTTTTTGAATAATTATATTGTATACAAGAGGTTAAGTTACCTTGATTCTGTCCAAGTAATCCTTAAGTCGTCATTAGTGCGACCGGTTTCGATGTCTATGGCATCATTGTCAAGCTGAACGTAAAAATCGCTCCTAGGAGGTCGTCATGAGTCTTGAAACACACTTAACACGTAACATATAACACGTACACAAACAAAAAACGATAAAATGCATGGCCACACAACTAATTTACAACACAGCGGCGGGTACAGGGTGTAGGTCTAGACTCCACCCTTTGAGTCTAGACCTACACCCTGTACCCGCCGCTGTGTTGTAAATTAGTTGTGTGGCCATGCATTTTATCGTTTTTTGTTTGTGTACGTGTTATATGTTACGTGTTAAGTGTGTTTCAAGACTCATGACGACCTCCTAGGAGCGATTTTTACGTTCAGCTTGACAATGATGCCATAGACATCGAAACCGGTCGCACTAATGACGACTTAAGGATTACTTGGACAGAATCAAGGTAACTTAACCTCTTGTATACAATTCATGAAGTAATCCGGAAGGCAATACACAAGATGAATAATTATATTGTGTACACACCTTTAGAAGAGTTATCCAATCAAGAAGTTTAGCCTAAGCCAACACTTAAGTAAGCTAATCCATTTTCATTACTTAGAATTAATCAACCGAAATATGGCAACTTCGTGTATTGTACTGGCATTCAATGTTCCAATAAATTAATCACCGAAACTCCACTAAAGAAATACGCGTACAACTAGTCCCAGATAACGTAAAGAGCAGCATTACTGCTTCAGACAGAAATCATTATTTTCAGTCAACATCCGAGACAGTAAAGTGAAGGAGCGTACACAAACAGTAAACCTAAACCATTTTTGCACTTTGCAGACGACGGAATCGACCTGACAGTTCTACGCCACTATGATCTGACTCCAAACAAATATGAAGCGTTATTATGATCAATGTATATTGCCTTGTTTACCAATCCGTCCTAGAATGATTTAAATCTCCTTTTCTAAAACCATACATTTTAAATCATTAAAAAACGTAACAACTATCAACATTTTTTGTAAATAACTATCAAAAAGAGGACAATTATGACCCGCGGAACTTACCTTAGGGGGGTGGGGGTCACCTACATTTTTAAAATTTAGAATTACTTTTATGCGTTTTAGGGGCCTATTTTAGATAGGTACTGGAACATTCAGCATTTTGTATTTTTTACTGAATATTATCTGGCAATTCCTAAAAACATATAAGCCTATATTATAGTACGTTTTAGAAATTTTAAGCTAGAATTGTCGATTTGTTAGCAAATTTTTTCACTACCACTAAAATAGTTGCTTTTAATTTTCATTCAGACATGCTTATGTTAACAATGCTATTGAAAAAAAATGGTAGCTTAGGCTAGGTAGCTCCAAAACTTTTGTCTGGATTACTGATGTATCCCCTCTCGCTTGATATCAAATGACTGGATAAATGGTTAGTCTTCAAGACTTTAAGAATATATTCATGATTTTGCCACGATTGCGGAAAAAGATTACGTTATTTCCATGACCGCGGGAGACAAAAATGATGTCTAAAAAAACCGAAGAAGATATTGATTTTGCCACAATTGCAGAAAAAAGATTACCGTTGTTTGCATGACTGCGGGAGACGATGATATCTTCAAAACTGGATGTACAAGATGAAGCCACGATCATGAATAGGGGTCTCAATCCCGGGATCCCGAATCCCGGCCGATTTTTGATACCTAGAAATCCCGGGATTGGTGACTTTTAATCCCGGGATTAACGGGATTGCAAAACCTATGTGAATTTGAGGACTTTTACTTACGGAAAATTAATAAAAATAGTCCAATAACACTTGAAAAACATATACTCTTTATTTTTAGGACGATTATATGAAATGGTATATAGCCTAAGAATGACCTTTTTTGGTTGGAAAATTTAATTATCATTAAACTCAATGTGGACGAATGTAGGCCTAAATATATGTTTCAGTTTTTAGACGATTTGGATTTACTTTCTGTAAATATGTTATTACATATATTAGTTAGAACTTAATTACAGTAGGCCTACGAGTTATTTTGAGTTTTACTTTTGACATTAAACGTAAACAACGCAATTCTCTTGTAGCAAAAATAACATTGCAATCGGAAATTTAAGTATTATTTTCATTTAAGCCATAAAATATAACTATAAACACACGAATATAATCTCATTATTAAAGATTGCTTATATTTAGGGTCTATAACATTTTGTTATTAGTGTGGTGATTAAATTTCTTGCAATTTAAAATTACGTTTTTCATACACACGATACTACATAAGCAGATGGTTTATTGTTTTACAGTATCTTATATTGTTTTATTGCTGTCAGTCAAAATAACATTTTTACGCTGATACTCGTGATTCTTCCCATTTTATCTTTTTATTTTAGCTAGCGTGGCGTAGGCTACGTGCGAGTGCGGTTGCTCGCGATTTTTTTTAATGTATTTATTATATTCTAGAGTGACATATCAACATTTATACACTGTAAATAAGAAATACGGGCGATGAAAGTTCCGCGTGGTAATATTTATTTACTTAGAAAACGGAAACATTACGCAGTGGAACACTGGTAAGGCCAGTTTAAAACATTAAAGTACTCAACGAGGGGACTTTCTCGCTTATTTAAAATGGCTAATATTATATAATCCCGGGATTGATCCTGGGATCCCGGGATCGGCTGAGACGAATCCCGAAATCCCGGGATTGGATTGAAGGCCCGGGATTGAGACCCCTAATCATGAACACCATGACGAAGTTTCCCTGACCGAAAGAGGCAATCTAAACACGTACATGAGATATTTAATTTATTTTTATAGCGATCGCAGCTTTTGCTGAGATAAGCAAATAAAGAATGAGTGATAAAAGGGTTTGATGGGGGGGGGGGAGGGGAAAGGGGCGCTACTCACATGTACTTGAGTCAGAGTTGGTCAGAGATTAAATAGCTGTGGCAAAAATCGCTCAAAATAATATTTTCACTGTGCAAGTGGTCCAAAGATTTTTCATGGCTGGTCAGGTGGATCAAGAAATATGTCATAATTATTTTAGATATTTTTATTGCAAGTAGGTCTTAATTAATTCATGTAAGGCACTTTACAATTATTGCCAACTTACACTATAAAACATTATATACAGATTCAACAATTCAAGTGAAAAAAGGTATACTTACAAAAATCTGTATTTACAACCTTAAAATGTAACTGAGTTACTCGCATCATGTACCAATTACATTACTGTGTATGATGTTTAGTGATGGTCGGATCCGGATATCGGACTACCGAATCCACAGGATCTAAGCTAGAACCGACGCCTGATTGGATCCAAAAAATTGGATTTTGGGCTAGATCCAGTTTTGATGGATCCGATTTATTTTTTTTTATTTTACCAACACAAAATGTTTTTTATAAAGTACAATTCATACATAAGAACAGGTGGTTGGGCATAGTGATGTATTTTAAAATAAAATTATTGGTTAAAATGATTAAAATAAACTCCATATAGAAGACTATCTGTGTCCATGACAAGACTGTCTGTGTCTCCATACCCTCTTGGTGGTCGTGCAAACTTTTGCAGGAAGTTTCATTTCATGATTTTGAAAATTTTAGAGTCCACCTAAAATGAGGAATATTGCTCAGCCATATCATTTATAGACGTCGACATATTCTGTGACATTCCCTAGCCATATAAGCTATGTTATTCTATATCTTATTACATCAACATTAAAACACTACCAATTTAATATAAAACAGTATGATTTAAATTGGATTTCTGTAAATATTACGTTTTTTTAAACCTGATTTTAATTTTTCAAGATCCGGATCCGGTACCGACATTTTATTGGATCCGCCCATCACTAATGATTTTCAATGAGTGGATTAACATCAACACATTAACACAACCGTCAACTAGTTTCTGAATTTCATACATATTACTTAAGTTTTAATTATTTTAATTTTCCAATGTATACCAAGTTGACATAACAGTTTTAACAGTTCTAAAACAGTATTTTTTTTAACAGGCACAAAAATTGCACCTGGCCCGTATCAGGTTTTGCTTTTAGGAACAATAGACTTCCACTCTTTTAGACACCTTGGGACGGAAATCTTGTCTAAACTAAAATTACCTCCGCCTCAGCAAACCTGTAGACTAAGCGAATTTCCATTTACCTGGCTGGATTTTTTTTTATGTTGATAACTTAGTATGAAATTAATAAAATTTCCAAATCTGATTAAAATATATCCATAAACAAACAAATTACAACAGTTTATTTATTCTCCATAAGAATAACATGGGAATTTTTTAAACTTATAATTTTTTATCTCCAAAATCGTTAGGCTTACAACAACGCTTCAATATACAAGAATATTTCTTTTTTAAGCTCTACAAAATGGTTTGGAAAGAAATTGTCAAATTTTAAGTTTTTAGAGTAAAAAATGGGGTAGACCAATTTTAACCCACAAAGTCCCCTTCCCATAGTTTGATCGTGCTGGTTTGAGAACTAATTCAAATAAATGGAGCTTTACACGTTTGTACAAAATTTAATCAAATCATTTTTGCTCGAGTTATCACGCTAACGGACACATGTATATGAATTTAAACGGGGGCTCTGGCGACCTCAAACGAAAAAGTAAAGGATCTAGGTCTTACCATGAGATCTACGGTAATAGATTATTCCCTATATGGGAAACTCCCTAAAAGTCTGATCGCCGAAGATAGTAAACAAATAATACAATGGATACATTGAAAAACCACACCCCAGTACTCTACCGATTAGATAAATAAATAACAACTGTACAAACAGGTTGTAAATTGAATGTTTTTGAGGTTATGGACACATTGGCGAAAGTGCAAAAGTGGTAAAGTTGCCACATCATCTTTTAATAAAATAGAATTCTAAACACTAGCACATTCGGTGACTGGCTCACACAACTACGTTCGTTTTTAATAAAAAAAAATGGCCACAGCTAGTCCACAGCCTATAGATAGGAAGTCTACTTCAGTATCCGATGTTATGTTGTCAGATTCTAACAGGTCCAAATGAGAGGGTGTCTATCTTAGACTTTGTATAAAACTTGATAATTTATGTTAAAGTTGAAGCCTTCACAGTAACACTATATCTGACACGGGCGGTTGAGTGGCTCATTCAACTAATTTTTTCTTAATAAACATAATAAACACTAAGTTTAAGTCGGTCTGTATAGATAGAATGTCTATTACAGTATCCGAAAGTCAATGTTCCAAGGAGATCAACTAGTCTTGTTAGGACTCTTAAGGCTCCACCACACTGGCGGACTCTATGATGCAATGACATCCGCAGCCACTCGGACACACACTCTCTGTCTTGAACCACTCCTGCATGTGACGGAGATGTCCACCATGGCCACACACTAGACAGCTACTCATGGATCCTACAACACACCAGCGAATAGGTAAGCTGTATAACCCCTTAAAACCATGCTCATTTGTTGCAACCTTGGAACAAATCAACTTTTAATTTATTAGATATCCAGCTTCAAGAACGAGGAAATCTTAACTAGAAATGTAATTAGTTGATTGTTATTTTATTGGTATCCAGTTATTACACAAGTAAATTTTGATTAGCAATGAATTTTGTTTCTAATTTTCGATGTAGGCTACAATTACCTCTAACAGACAGGTGACAGATGACACACTGCAAGGCAGGCTTTTTACAGTTTGTGCAGTTAGCCTCTAGACCTGATTTGCGACAATGTTGACAGTCAACCTTGGGCTCAATCCCTCTGTGTGGCTCGGGCATGGCAGACATGAACTTCAGCACCTGATGACATG